CCCTTTTTAATTTAGCTATGTGTAGAAAAAAATTTGGGTTAATAAGAAATTTACATTTTTTATGAAAAAGAGGATAAAAAAATAAAAAGGTATGATTAGCACGAAATGAAAGTAGTTTATTAGATTATGTATTTTTTTGGGTAAAAGGTTGAAAAAATTTTGGGCCCCAAAAGTACTTTTTTATAGAGGGGCAACTGATATAACGGAAAACATTTTTTATTGTACAAAAGTTAGAGTAAAAGGTAATGGGAAAAGAAGGGAAGGGGGCAACAACAAGTAAGAGGGAGGGAAAGTGGGATAAACAAGGGGGGAGGAATTTTGGGTAGAATAAGGGGACTATTGGGAGAAAGGGGGCTAGTGCAAAGATGAGTAAATGGGGGGGTTTTTAAGAAAGGGTTTTTTTTTTTTTTATTTTTTAAAAAATGCATAAATTTGAATGGGGGGGGCAGAAGTTTTTTTGGTTTTTTTAAAGGGGGGTGGGGGCAGGGGGAAAGAGGGTGATTGGGGAATGATAAGTAAAGGGTGTGAAAAAAGAGAAAAAGGGACCCAAAGAGAAAGGGTTTTTTTAAAGCAGAAGTGTTTTAAACCGAACAGATATATGGAAGTAAAAGAAAGGGGAAAAAGAGTGGTGAGAGGTGCAAAAGGAGAGCAAAGTTTGAGTGGAGAGGGACTGTCAAAAAATTTTAAAGAAAAATAAAAAAAATTTTGGAGTGAGTTAAACAAGTTAAGAAAGCCTGGGAAAATTTTTGGATTTGTCAGTTTTTAAAAAAATAAGGGGGGGTTAGTAGATGGGGAGATGGAGGTATTGGGAAGAAGGCGAGAAAAATTTGAGGAACTTTAAATGTTAAAGAAGAAAAAGAGGGGTAATTTCATGCACTGGGGCAGGGAAGGGATACCAACTTTTTTGGAGTAAAAGACAAAGTAAGTGTGGGGGAGGTTTTCGTGAGGCATTACTAAAAAAGAAAGGGGGGAAAGCAGCTGGGAAATGATGGGGTCATGACAAAATGTTAAAAGGGAGGGGGGGTATAGGGGTTTGGGGTGGTTGGTTTCTTTTGGTTTTAAAAAATGTTAAGGGAAAAAGGGGAAGGGACCTAGGGATTGGCAGAAAAGCATGTATAGTCCCTTTAAATAAAGGGAAAGGGGGCAAAAAAACTGTAAAAAATTTTAAAAGGGAAAAAAAACTTACTGAGTATAAACCCCGGAAAGTGAACGGTAGGGTTTATAAATTGAAAGAATTAGAGGGAAGGGAAAAATGTTGGGTTGGGGGATGAGCAAGGAGGTTTTAGAGTGGGGGAGGGATGTTTAGAAAAGGTGTTTACATTGAAGCTATAGTGAAAAAGTATTTGATTAAAAGATAGGGGAAATTTTTATTTCATTTAAAGGATTTTGAAAAGGGAAGAAAGAGTGGGTTAAAAAGCAATGTGGCAGATGTTGCAAGTAAAATTGGAAAAGGGGGGTAAGTTTTTAAATGCTGTAAAAAAAGTTTTTAAAGAAAGGGTAGTGGGGGCTCAGGTTTTGGGTGTGTAAAGAGAGGAGACTACTTCCCAAAAAATTTGGTCTTAGACAGGGGTGTGTAAAACACCAAGGGTTTTTTTAATATATTTAAAAGATGGGGTTGTAAAGGAAGTAAATGCTAGGGTGGGTTTTGGGGGAAAGGGGGGGGATTAAATTAAGGGGGGGTCAAATTCAAAATGGAATTGACCAAAAGTTACTTTTTGCTGATGATACTGTGCTTTTGGGGGATTCTAAAGAAAAAATTTCAAAAAAGGGTTTGTGGGTGAGTTTTTGGGAAGGGGTGTAAAAGGGAAAAAGTTTAAAAATGAAAAATGAAAGAGTAAGGGGATGAGGGTTTCAAAAGATTTAGAAAAAAGAAAAAATTGGGTATCAAAATTTTGGGGGGGAGGGTGGAAAAGGGAATGTTTTTTCAGATACTTGGGAGTTGAAATGTCCCGGGGGATGGATTTAAAGAAGGGTGAAGGGGTTTAAACATTGAATTGATAAAGGGAAAAAAAAGGGGAGTGGGGGCGTTGAGGTATATTTTTGGGGTCAAAAAACGTTATCTATGGGGGCAAAGAAGGGAATGAAAAAGAAAGTTTTAATTTGGGACCAAAAACTCTTATATGGGGGTGAAGCCCGGGGGGTAAATGCAGAAACAGGAGGAAAAGGTTGGAGCAGCGGAGATTTCCCCGTTTTAAAAGGGAAAAGTGTGGGAAATATTAGCAGAAAAAATTTGGGGTTTTGGAAATTAGGAGAAGGGGTGGAGTTAATAAAAGGGAAAAATTAGTCAGAGGGCAGAAGAGGGGTTTTTTGAGGGGGTTTGGGCCAAATTTTGAGAGAAGGTCACCCGTAGAATGACGGAAAGCATATAAATTTTATAGGGAAGGAAGGCGGGGGAGGGGTCGCCTCGAAAGGGTTTTTGGGGGAGGGGGGGAAAGGGGGTTTTGTGGTAAGGGGGTTGGACCCTTTCCCCAAGGGGGCGTGAGCTGTTAGATAAAAGGGGTTTAATTTGGGGACGAATGGAAATTGGAACCCCGACGATTTTGTTGGGGTGGGGAGGGAGGGTAATTTTATTTAAGGGGTTTTAGGGAAACCGGTTTTTTTCCTTTTAGTCGACTTGAGGGCCTGGAAAAGGGAAATTTCAATCCCGCACTTTTTAAAAGGGGGGTTTTGGGGGTATTTGGGATTTGAGGGATAGGGTTTTATCTTTATATGTTTAGCTTCTAGAAATGTTGTATTCTACACCTCTGCAAAAACAGTGTAATGTGCAAATGTGGTGGGAAAATGTTTAATGATGATGAAAGTATTTTCTTTTTGGGGAATTTTTTTTCTTTTTTTGGGGCCCCTGCCTTTGGTGGAAACGGCCCGAAAAAGTTGAAAAAAAAAAAAAAAAAAAAAAAAAATTTGTGACCCTACAAAAGGGTAAACTTCCTTTTAAAACTACTTGGCATATATATCAAAGCAAAATAATAAATTTACGTAACATATTTTTCAATAATAAAAATTTCAATCAACTCCTTATGAAAACCCCCGTTTTCTCTCACGACACTTTTTCCATGGGGTGTTGTGTCCCTCCCCCCTCAACGTGTCCCTTTACACCCATTCTTTTGTAAAGACGTCCCTGCTCAACCGGTCCCCTAACCCCCCTTTTCTCTTTTGGGCACACAAACCCCCTACCTCCCTGTCACACGAAACCCTTTTTTCCCCATCATACACAATATTCTCTACTGTGTCACTCTTGACACCCTTGTCTCTGCGTCGCACACTATCACCCACAGCATCTTTCTCGAGGCCAGTCACATGATACTATTCAATGTACACTACAACCTGACCATCTTCAGTGTCACACGACACCCTTTTCTTCTCAGTGTTCCACTATGGTCCTATAGCATATCTCAGTGTTCCACTCCATCATACTTCCCTAAGTGTCACACTACGGTCCTAGCCCAGTTCAGTGTAACACTCCAACCTTTTCTTCATGTAATGTCCCACTAAAACAGCATCAGTTGACTCCGGCCCACAGTTGACCAGCGTAGGCGGTGAGTCCGCAGACATCACTGGTAGTCCTGTAAATACTCTCTAAGGCCGGTAGAAGTACACCGTAAGATGGTCTGGTGAGTACTATCTACCGCCTTCAAGACCAATTGACACACCGCAAGGTGGTCCGATTAATTACTAGCAGAACACCATGCTGCAAGCTCACCGAATGCGGCCGTCAAGTAACTGAGGCCAACAGACTCCCTGAGCTGCGGTGAGCGCTTCCTCTAACGCCAGTAGAAGCCAGTAGAATACTCTACTGCCAGTAGATGTGTAAGATTAGGTGTTCTGGTAACTACTGCGTAAATGCGTACCGTGAGGTGTTCAGGTACTTACTGCTTCTAAAGCCAGTAGATGTGTACCATTAGGTGTTCAGGTACCTACTGCTTAGATGCGTACCGTGAGGTGTTCAGGTACTTAATGCTTCTAAGGCCGGCTCAGCAGTCCCCACATTGGGTTTGATGACGTACCCAGTGGTACTGCCGGCCGGCAGGTAAACCATTTAACCACTAGTTTGGTAGGGGGCCGCAACAGCTGACAGTCTGATAGCCAAGTCTGAGAGTCTTGCAACACTCCAAGCTTTGTTGATACAGTGTTGCAAGTGTTGTACCTGAGGCAGTGTTGCTGATATGAGACAGTTTCTTTCACTAAGACTTATAGTTGTTTTGTGAAATATTTTTAACAAGTGATGATAATATGGCAGTAACGATTCACTTGAATGAGACATTCTAGTGAAACCTTATTCACTTGAATGAGACATTCTAGTGAAACCTTATTCACTTGATTGCCTCATTATTATTCACTTGATTACCTCATTATTATTAACTTAATTGCTTCATTATTATTCACCCATGATTATTCACTTGATTGCCTCATTATTAATTACTCATGATTATTCACTTGATTACCTCATTCATTTGAATGATGTAATCAGTACCTTAGGGACTGATTACCTCAAACTCCTCCTCATCTTCCACCATTCTTCTCTGTATTGGACTGAAGAAGCCATGTTTTTTTTTTTTGTTAATTGGCAACTTATTAACTGATAACACAAGAATAGATGATACCTCTTGGTACTGATACCAGTGCTTTGCCACAACCTTTGTACTAGAGACAATTTAAAATATTTATATAAGCACACCTTGCTAAAATATAGGTGATTTTTTTCCTCTGATATTTTTGTGATCTAATTCATGTCTGCAGAAATACAAGCCACCCTACTGTGGCTGGAAAAATTCACCATTTATCTTCATTTTGTTAGTTGTGTTCACCTAGTTGTGGTTTCAGGGGTTGAGTCACAGCTCCTGGCTCTGCCTCTTCACTGGTTGCTACTTGGTCATTCTTCCAGCTCCATGAGATTTATCATACCTCTTCTTGTGTATAATTGTGTATAGCATTGTGTGTGTGTTTATTACATAATTTTAATCACAATTTTTTATTAATTTTAAGCTATTTATATTTTGTAGGCTGAGCAACACACATGTTCTGGGCTTCAGTTTAGGTGGAAGAATTGCAGGACACGTTGGTGACAGAGTCCAGACAGGAACCATTGGAAGAATTACTGGTAGGTGGGTCCAATAATTTTTTATTATTAAAATTTAAGTGATACCTATCTGGCTGGTTAGGGGATATACCTTTAACGACTTTTGAGAGTTATTCTACTCTCAAAGCCTGGCTTTGGGCCAGGCTCATCAATGAAACATATGCCCAGACCTGGGATTCAAAGCCTATCAACTATACTGGGGTCATTAAGGCTGCACACAACCTTTTCACCACCAGACAAGAATACTTAACCCTTTCAGGGTCCGTCCCGTAGATCTACGGCTTTACGTTCAGGGTCCAAACCGTAGATCTACGCCATGAGCTCAGCTCACTCTGATAAACTGTGAGTGGTACATTTGGGCCTAGATATGAGAGAATACATCTATGTGGTATGTGTGCACCACATAAAAACAGATCCTGCAGTACACTGTGTATAATGAGAGAAAAAAAATGAAATCATGATTTTTCGATTAAAACAGCAACTTTGCAGTGTTTTTTTCGTATGTTTTTTATAGTTTATTTGCGATTTCTTGGTCTCATTTGATAGAATGGAAGACATATTACAGAAATAGAGATGATTTTTGATTGGTTTTAGCACTGGAAATGGCTTGAAACTGAGCTCAAAGTAGCAGAAATGTTAAATTTTTGCCGATATTCAAGAGTAAACAAACGACCTCACACGTCTAATACACGTCAGCTGGTGGGTCTAATATACATTCACAAATATGGTGATGATATTTATACAATTATTACAGTATTGCATAACAGTAAATCTTCTATTTTTTGGTGTGAATAAAAATTCATTATGTGAATAAAAAATCAAAATGGAATTTATTTGTAAAGCCTCAAAACATAACTAATGAACAGAGAAATGTTAGTTTAGTGCCAGGAATGCCTACATTGTTCATTCTGGACCCTATTTTGAAATTGGAATATTTTGAACTTTGTGTTAAATTGGCCAAATTAACAATTTCGATCACTTTATTTTGTAGTTGAAACAGTTGACTTGGCGATTTCTTGTGCTCAATCGATAGAATAGAAGTAATACTAGTGAAATAGCTAAGAATTTGGTTGATTGGAATAATGTAATTGGCCTAAAATGGGAGTCAAAGTCGGCAAAATCGGATTCGTAAATATCGCTGACACATCAAAATTCGCGCGAGAGCATAATTTCGTCAATTTTCCACCAAAATTTCGTACTTTTTTGTTTATTACCTTCACAAAAAGATTCTCTAACGATTTCATAAGAAAAAATAAACAATTTTTTTTTTTGAAAATTCTTGGACACTGGTGCGTGACTCCAGATTTGGGCCTTGGACCCTGAAAGGGTTAAGTGTACCATCCTTCAAGGGTGTCAGCACCTCTACATTCACTGTTCCATCCTTGCAGTGTGTCAATACCTAGCTACCTTCGCTGTTCCATCCTTCAAGTGTGTCAGTACCTAGCTACCTTCACTGTTTCATCCTTCAAGGGTGTCAGTACCTAGCTACCTTCACTGTTCCATCCTTCAAGTGTTTCAGTACCTAGCTACCCTCACTGTTCCATCCTTCAAGTGTGTCAGTACCTAGTACCTTCACTGTTCCATCCTTCAAGGGTGTCAGTACCTAGCTACCTTCACTGTTCCATCCTTCAAGTGTGTCAGTACCTGAGTATGTTAGATAGGAGTGAGTGGAGACAAATGGTTTTTAGAACTTGACGTGCTGTTGGAGTGTGAGCAAGGTAACATTTATGAAAGGATTCAGAGAATCCTGCAGGCCGGACTTGAGTCCTGGAGGTGTGAAGTACATTGCCTGCACTATGAAGAAGGATGTTAATGTTGCAGTTTTATAACCATAGTGTAAGTGCACCTCTGGCAAGACAGTGATGGAGTGAATGATGATGAAAGTTTTTCTTTTTCGGGTCACCCTGCCTTGGTGGGAAACAGCTGATGTGTTAATATATATACAGCCTCTCATTTAACGACGGAGTTCCGTTTCTTAAGTGGCCCACTTAAGAGTAACTCTGGTCAGATCACTGACAGTGATAAGGATATGTGTGAAATTCTCAATACCTACTTCCTCTCAGTTTTCACCCAGGAAAATACTAGCGATATTCATGAAATAATAGATGACGTAGAACAGGATGATGATAAACTATGTACGATTGCGGTAACTAGTGACATGGTCCTCAGACAAATAGAGAAACTAAAACCTCACAAATCCCCAGGTCCTGATGAACTGTTTGCAAGGGTGTTAAAGGAATGTAAAGAGGAACTTAGCATACCTTTGGCAAATCTTTTTAACATATCACTACAAACTGGCATAGTGCCTGATAAGTGGAAAATGGCAAATGTAATACCTATTTACAAGGCAGGTGACAGGTCCTTGGCTTCAAACTATAGACCAATAAGCCTTACCTCCATAGTGGGAAAATTTATGGAATCAATAATTGCCGAAGCAATTCGTAGCCATCTTGACAGGCACAGATCGATTAACGATTCTCAACACGGTTTTACAAAGGGGTTCCTGTCTTACGAATTTACTAACTTTTTTCACTAAGGTAATGAATATGATATTGTGTATATGGACTTCAGTAAGGCTTTCGATAGAGTTCCACACCAGAGGCTATTGAGGAAACTTAGGGCACATAGAATAGGAGAAATTTTTTCCTGGGTAGAGGCATGGCTGACAAATAGACAGCAGAGAGTTTGCATAAATGGGGAGAAATCAGAATGGGGGCACGTCACAAGCGGTGTTCCTCAGCGGTCAGTGTTGGGCCCATTGTTGTTCACAATTTACATAAACGACATAGATGAGGGAATAAATAGCGACATAAGCAAATTTGCTGATGACACCAAATAGGCCGTCCAATTCATTCTAATGAGGACATTAGAGCACTCCAGGATGATTTGAATAGACTGACACAATGGTCGGAGAAGTGGCAGATGCAGTTTAATATTGACAAATGCAAAGTTCTAAATGTTGGACAGTTAAATAACCATGCCACATATAAACTAAATAATGTAGATCTTAATACACCGATTGCAAAAAGGATTTAGGAGTTCTGGTTTGCAGTAACCTAAAACCAAGACAACAGTGCATTAGTGTTCGCAATAAAGCTAACAGAATTCTTGGCTTCATATCTAGAAGTATAAATAATAGAAGTCCTCAGGTTGTTCTTCAACTCTATATATCCTTGGTTAGGCCTCATTTAGACTATGCTGCTCAGTTCTGGTCACCGTATTACAGAATGGATATAAATGCTCTGGAAAACATACAAAGGAGGATGACAAAGATGATCCCATGTATCAGAAATCTGCCCTATGAGGATAGACTGAGAGCCCTGAATCTGCACTCTCTCGAAAGGCGTAGAATTAGGGGGGGATATGATCGAGGTGTATAAATGGAAAACAGGAATAAATAAAGGGGATGTAAATATTATTTTTTATATTATTATCACACCGGCCGATTCCCACCAAGGCAGGGTGGCCCGAAAAAGAAAAACTTTCGCCATCATTCACTCCATCACTGTCTTGCCAGAAGGGTGCTTTACACTACAGTTTTTAAACTGCAACATTAACACCCCTCCTTCAGAGTGCAGGCACTGTACTTCCCATCTCCAGGACTCAAGTCCGGCCTGCCGGTTTCCCTGAATCCCTTCATAAATGTTACTTTGCTCACACTCCAACAGCACGTCAAGTATTAAAAACCATTTGTCTCCATTTACTCCTATCAAACACGCTCAAGCATGCCTGCTGGAAGTCCAAGCCCCTCGCACACAAAACCTCCTTTACCCCCTCCCTCCAACCCTTCCTAGGCCCACCCCCACCCCGCCTTCCTTCCACTACAGACTGATACACTCTTGAAGTCATTCTGTTTCGCTCCATTCTCTCTACATGTCCGAACCACCTCAACAACCCTTCCTCAGCCCTCTGGACAACAGTTTTGGTAATCCCGCACCTCCTCCTAACTTCCAAACTACGAATTCTCTGCATTATATCACACCACACATTGCCCTCAGACATGACATCTCCACTGCCTCCAGCCTTCTCCTCGCTGCAACATTCATCACCCACGCTTCACACCCATATAAGAGCGTTGGTAAAACTATACTCTCATACATTCCCCTCTTTGCCTCCAAGGACAAAGTTCTTTGTCTCCACAGACTCCTAAGTGCACCACTCACTCTTTTTCCCTCATCAATTCTATGATTCACCTCATCTTTCATAGACCCATCCGCTGACACGTCCACTCCCAAATATCTGAATACGTTCACCTCCTCCATACTCTCTCCCTCCAATCTGATATTCAATCTTTCATCACCTAATCTTTTTGTTATCCTCATAACCTTACTCTTTCCTGTATTCACCTTTAATTTTCTTCTTTTGCACACCCTACCAAATTCATCCACCAATCTCTGCAACTTCTCTTCAGAATCTCCCAAGAGCACAGTGTCATCAGCAAAGAGCAGCTGTGACAACTCCCACTTTGTGTGTGATTCTTTATCTTTTAACTCCACGCCTCTTGCCAAGACCACTCGCATTTTACTTCTCTTACAACCCCATCTATAAATATATTAAACATACCACGGTGACATCACACATCCTTGTCTAAGGCCTACTTTTACTGGGAAAAAATTTCCCTCTTTCCTACATACTCTAACTTGAGCCTCACTATCCTCGTAAAAACTCTTCACTGCTTTCAGTAACCTACCTCCTACACCATACACTTGCAACATCTGCCACATTGCCCCCCTATCCACCCTGTCATACGCCTTTTCCAAATCCATAAATGCCACAAAGACCTCTTTAGCCTTATCTAAATACTGTTCACTTATATGTTTCACTGTAAACACCTGGTCCACACACCCCCTACCTTTCCTAAAACCTCCTTGTTCATCTGCTATCCTATTCTCCGTCTTACTCTTAATTCTTTCAATTTATAACTCTACCATACACTTTACCAGGTACACTCAACAGACTTATCCCCCTATAATTTTTGCACTTCCCCCTTTTATCCCTTGCCTTTATACAAAGAACAAAGCATCTCCCCCCCCTGCC